CGGGAGGGCGGGAGGGCGGGAGGAGAGCCAGGGGAGGCCAGGACCAGGACAACACGGACCAGGAAAGAACTCAAGCGTGGGATTGACGTCGGAGACTGACGTTGGTGTTTGGGGAACAGCCTTGCAGGAGGTGCCCAGCAGAGGGGTCTCCCGGGGACCAGGGAGGGACAAGCTTATGGAGGACCCGGGAGGCGACCAGAGAGGGAGCTTAGAATCCATAGCTTTCACTGAATGTCCCCAAGATTGGGCTAACTTTGAGCATGGGCATATACATATCTTTTCATGTTTTGTCCTTTGCTTTTTTTTTTTTTAAGAATTATTTTATTTAACTTTATTTCTTTTAATTTGACCAAACAGAGAGAGAGAGAGAAAGTGAGAAAGCAAACCGCCAGGTCTGGGGCTCAAACTGGTCAGTCATGTGGGACTCCAGCGCCCTAACCACCATGCCACCTGCTGGCCCCTCTTCCTTCCTTTCTTTCTTTCTTTCTGCCACCGGTTTTTTTTTTTTTTTTTTGGAGAAGTTTTTTTCTATAGGACATGTACGCTCACCAGAAAGACAGAGAGAGAGAGGGACAGAAAATGCGAAATCACCCCTTGGGAGGATGGCCACACCGCAATCCCTTCTCCTCCATTTTCCTCTACGGGATCTTGGGCATGCACGCACACGCGCCCGGCATGAGTTTAAGCCACCAGATCCGGGATTCGAACTGCAGTCAACTACATGGGAGTTCAGCGACGTAGCCATTAAGCCAGTTACTGGTTCCTCTTTTTTTTAAAGTGATTTCTCACTTTGCCTCTCTCTGTCTCTGTCTGTCTATCTCTCTCTGGAGAGTGTACATACCCTATGGCAAAAAACTAAAAATAAATAAATAAACAAATAAATAAATGCGTAGGAAGTGTTGGGCCAACTGGTGGAATGACCATGAAGGCAGGTAGATCCCACAAGGTGGACCATGCAATTGGAGGCCCAGACCCAGCAGTTTGAAAAACACACCAGACACTTGTGTGTGTGTGTGTGTGTGTGTGTGTGCCTCAAATCCCTAGAGAACGGAGGAGAAGGGATTGTGGTAGGGTCATCTTCTCTTTGGGGGTGACTTCTCACTTTTTAAAAAACTTATTTTATTTCTTCTTCAATTTGACCAGAGAGAGCTAGAGAAAGAAAAGGATAGTGAGAAAGCAAGCCACCTGGTCTAGGACTCGAACCACAGTCGCCCGTGCGGGATCACTGTTTTTTTTTAAAGAATTATTTTATTTTTTTATTGGAGAGGTTTTTTGCTATAGGGTACATGTACTCACCAGAAAGACAGAGAGAGACAGAGAGACAGAAAGCGAGAAATCACCCCCCAGGGGGGATGGTCACACCGCAATCCCTTCTCCTCCATTCTCCTCTCGGGATCTTGGGCACGCACGCACACGTGCCAGGCGTGAGTTTAAGCCTCCGGCTCTGGGACTCGAACCGCGGCCAGCCACATGGGAGTCCAATGACATAGCCATTACGCCAACTGCTGGTCCTTTAAATAATTATTTTATTTATTTAGTATTATTATTATTCATGAGTTTTGTCAGAGAGAGAGAGTGAGAAAGCAAGCCGCCAGGTCAGGGACAGGAATGGCGGTTGGCCATGTGGGAGTCCAGCGCCCCAACCACCACGCCACCTGCTGGCCCCACTTCTTACTTTCTCTCTGTCTCTTTCTGTCTCTCCTGTGTAGACACAAGCCTTATAACAAATTTTAGAAATTAAGAAATATGTGGGGGTTCCATAGTGTAATGGTTATCACATCTGCTTTATGCGTAAAAGGTCCTAGGTTCGAGCCTCAGTGGAACCATGGCTGAAAGATGGCTCTTCCGTTGGGAGCCAGCAGGTGGCATGGTAGTTAAAGGGCTGGATTTGCACATGGCCAATTGCGGTGTGAGTCCTGGAACTGGAAGCTTGCTTTCTCACTCTCTCTGGACATTTTACAGTTGATACTTTGGAGTATCACTCTGGTTTTCCCATTGTAACTAAACAGTGTTTTTCCTAACAGCCTCTTCAGAAGCTTGAGTTGGATGGAAGTTCATTAGTCCCAGACATTTAGGCTAACGGTGATGTAATGTGCCTGCAGGCTCTGCTACAGTACAGAGTGCTCTAACAAAAATGATCTAAACTAGGTGTCTGGAGATGGCATGGTGGTTAAAGAGCATTGACTGTAGTTGGAATGTTGAACCCAGAGCCTTGAAAATTATGCTGGGCACATATGCAGGGGTAACCAAAATCCTGAGAGGAGAATATAGGAGAAGGGATGGCGGTGTGGCCATCCCCCTGGTGGGTGACTTCTTGCTTCCTGTCTCTCTATCTCTGTCTCCTTGATGAGCGCATGTGCCCTATAGCAAAAACCTCTCCAAACAAAATTATTTATTTAATTTTACTTATTATTATTATTTTTTTAGAGAGGTTTTTATAGGGCTTGTGTGCTTTCTTGAGAGACAGAAAGGAAAAAATCGCCCCCCCGGGGGACATGGCCACACCGCAATCCCTTCTCCTCCATTCTCCTTTCAAGATCTTAGCAAGCAGGCACATGCACCTGGTGTCCGGGACTCGAACTGTGGTCGAGTACATGGGAGTTCAGCGACATAGCCATCACGCTAACTGCTGGTCCCAACATTTACTTATTTATCTATGTATTTATTTGTTACAATTTTCCAGTTGCTGAGTCCAGGACTTGAACTGCGCTCCATCATGTGGGAACCCAGTGCGTAACCACCATGCCACCTGCTGACCCCCTCGTCTTTGTACATTTCAGCGTTTTTCAGCTTCTCTGGAAAGACCGCGCACTGCACGAAGGGACCGGACAGCGGTGTCGTTGGTAAGACGAGAGGCTCGCGGGTCTGACCCCCGAGAAACGAGAAACGTCTGGATCCTTGCGCCGGGATCCCCGGAGTACACACCTGGGTGCCGACGATCTGGGCGTGTCGGGGCTGCGGTAATGAGCCCCGTGAGGACCCTGGTGGGGGCGCCGTCTTTGTCTCTCCCTCTCTCTCTGTCCTCTTTGCTCAGGTAAGAAATAAATGAATACGCCTCGGGACCAGCAGTTAGCGTAAGGGCTGTCGCTGGACTCCCACGTAGTCGACCGCGGTTCGCGTCCCGGACCCGGTGGCTTAAAACTCACGCCGGGCGCGTGTGCGTGCGTACCCAAGATCTCGAGAGGAGAATGGAGGAGAAGGGATTGCGGCGTGACCATCTCCCCTGGGGGGTGATTTCTCGCTTTCTGTCTCTCTGTCTCTCTCTGTCTGGCGAGCGCATGCGCCCTATAGCAAAAACCTCTCGAAAAAAAAAAAATTTAAAAAGGAGACTTTATTGAAATAAAATAATAGGTGCTGGCAGGTGGCATGGTGGTGGTTAATAGCACTGGACTCCCACTTGGCCGACCACAGTTCGAGTCCTGGATCTGGTAGTTTGCTTTTTCACTTTCCATCTCTCTCTCTGTGTTACTCTGTCCCTCTCTGGTCAAATTTAAGTAAACAAACAAATAAATAAAATTAAATAAAAGAAATCTTTAAAAAAGAAAGAAAATCATAAATATAATTTTTGTGTGACCACACTCATGAATTAAAAGAAAGAAAACACAAAAGCTAACCCTAAAGCACCCCCGTCCTCACTTCCCGAAGCAGAAGGGTAACACTGGCTCATAATGGTCTCAAGCACACTTTCCCTTTTTCGCGAATGGAAACAGGAGGGAAGGAGTTAAAGCCCCTTCCTTGACCACCCCCACCCTTGTCCCTCTGCCCCGACTCCATTTCCCTCCTTCTCTGTCCAGAAAAACAACCGTTTCCCTGAATTTCTAGTGACGTGTTTCTTGTGTTTACATTTCGGGGACAGATATGTTAGAGGAAGCCTGAATTCATCCCACTGGCAAAATAACTCACTGGGCTTTTCAAGTGAAAATTCAATCCGTTTAAGGAGAGGACTTCCAAAACCTTGCAGAAAAGTGGAATTAAAGTACAAGTTTATTCTGATGCAAAACAGTTTGAAATTTATGCATAGTTTTTTTGGTTTTTTTTTTTGGAGAGATTTTCGCTATAGGGCGCGTGCGTTCGCCAGACAGACAGAGAGAGACAGAAAGCGAGAAATCACCCCCCAGAGGGGATGGTCACGCCGCAATCCCTTCTCCTCCATTCTCCTCTCGGGATCTTGGGCATGCACGCACACGCGCCCGGCGTGAGATTTAATCCACTGGGTCCGAGACGCGAACCGCGGTCGACTTCGTGGGAGTCCAGTGACATAGCCATTACGCTAACTGCTGGTTCCCTGCATAGTTTTTTTTTTTCTAATACACATTTTCCATGAACTTTTTGTTAGGAATCATTTATGTAATTCTATTTAATATAATAAGTTTTTTAAGAATGATCTTATTTAACTGTTATTTGATTTATTTACTTATTTTAATTTGACCAGAGAGGGACACAGTGAGAGAGAGAGAAAGTGAGAAAGCAAGCCGCCAGGTCTGGGACTCAAACCCTGGTCGACCATGTGGGAGTCCAGAGTCCTTAACCACTGTGCCACCTGCCGGCCCCATATTATAATTTTTTAATTTGACCAGAGAGAGAGAGAGAGAGAGAGAGAAAGTGAGTAAGCAAGCAACCAGGTCTGGAACTCGAACCATGGTCGGCCATGTGGGAGTCTAGCGCCTTTAACCGCCATGCCACCTGCCGGCCCCTGAATTATGCAGTTTTCAAGTGTACTTTTAGTTTTGTGTATTTATAAGTTAGAATTTGCAGAAGTTGCAAACTCTAGTTGGGCTTCTCCGTGGTTACCATCTTACGAAATCACGGTTCATTCGTAACTGTTAAGAAATGACGAGGCTGGAGAAGAAGAAATTGTGGTGTAACCATCCCCCGGGGGAGGGTCCTTCCAGCCCCCTGCCTCTGCTCTGTATCTTTCTGGTGAGGTTATAGACCCTTCCCCCCGGCCCCCAAAAAGAAAGAAAAAAATTATTAGTTTTTTTAATTGAAAATTAGAATTCTTAGTTGTGGCTGTCTTTGGAGCTCACCGATTTTCTTTTCCTTCTTTCTTTTTTTGGAGAGGTTTTTGCTATAGGGCGCGTGTGCTCACCAGACAGAGAGACAGAGAGACAGAAAGCGAGAAATCACCCCCCAGGGGGGATCGCCATCCCTTCTCCTCCATTCTCCTCTCGGGATCTTGGGCACGCACGCACACGCGCCCGGCGTGAGTTTTAAACCACTGGGTCCGGAACTCGAACCGCGGCGGACTACATGGGAGTCCAGTCATGTAGCCATTACGCCATCTGCTGGTCCCAAATACTTAATTTTTAAACCCCCCCAATTAATTCATTTTTAATAAAGAATGATTTCTTTAATTTTATTTATAATTATGATTATTATTTAATTTGCTACAGGGTACTTGTGCTCACCAGAGACAGAGAGGGAGAGAGAAAGGGTGACAAGGAGAAAGCAAGCTGTCAGGTCCGGGACTGGGGCTTCAGTTGGCCAAGTGCGAGTCCGGCACTTCAGCCAGTGCGCCACCTGCTGGCTCCAGTTTCTTTATTTAAAAGAATTATTTAGGGACCAGCAGTTAGCGTCATGGCTGTCGCTGGACTCCCACGTAGTCGACCACGGTTCGCGTCCCGGACCCGGTGGCTTAAACTCATGCCGGGTGCATGTGCGTGCGTGCCCAAGATCCCTAGAGGAGAATAGAGGAGAAGGGATTGCGGCGTGGCCATCCCCCCTCGGGGGTGATTTCTCGCTTTCTATCTCTCTGTCTGGCAAGCAAATGTGCCCTATAACAAAAACCTGTCAAAAAAAAAAATTTATTTATTTAACTTTATTGATTTTAATTTGAACAGAGAGGGACAGAGCAAGAGAGAAAAAGAGAGAGAGAGAAAGCAAGCCGCCAAGTCCAGGACTCAAAGCATGGGTGGCCATGTAGGAGTCCAGTGCCCTTAACCACCTCACCACCTGCTTGTTCCCCCAATTTATTTATTTTTTAAGTTTTGCAATAGGGAACATGTGCTTGCCAGAGAGAGAGGGAACGTGAGCAATCACCTCCCGGGGAGGATGGCCACCCTACACACGCTCCTTCATCCTCTCTGGACTTGGGGCATGCATGCACACACATTGGCCTCAGGGCCTGGGACTTGAACCTCACAGTTAGCCATGTGGGATCCAGCTGCCTAAATCACCATGCCACTTGGATGGCCCTATTTTATTACTTTTTTGGTAAGAGATTTTTGGTATAGGACTCATGCGCTTGCTGACGAGAAGACAGAGATAGAAAGCGAGAAATCACCCCTCCAGGGAAGTTGGCCATGCCGCAGTCCCTTCTCCTCCATTCTCTTGGGATCTTGAGCACGCATGCACACGTGTCCAGTGGGAGTTTGAAGTCACTGGGTCCAGGTCTCGAACCACAGTCGACTACACAAGAGACCAGCGATGTAAGCATTATGCCACCTGCTGATCCTGATGGCCCTAGATTTTAATTTTAATTTGCAAGAACACATGAACAGAACACATCCCCATCAGCCACCATCCCCTCCCTGTCATGAACTGTCGGCGTCTGCCCCGGGCGTGGCTCGATCTGAGAGGAGAGAGGAAAGAGACAGAGAGAGAGCAGCAGTGGACACGGGCAGCCTGAACCTAAGTAGCCCAAGCAACTTGTGCCACCCAGACAGCCGGGGCGCCTTTATTTATAGGACAGGTGACACTACATAAGTGTACTTCATGACCTTCCGTGGGGATGTTGACGTGTTACAGACAATAAGGAGCAGGTGACAAATCTCTCAGGGCTTAGACATACTGGGCCAGGTGTATCCCTTGGCGATAATCCCATCAAGTAGAAATCTCTTTAATCGTCTTTTCTTTTTTTGGAGAGGTTTACTATAGGGCACGTGCGCTCACCAGAAAGACAGAGAGACAGAGAGACAGAAAGCAAGAAATCCCCCCCCAGGGGGGATGGCCACGCTGCAATCCCTTCTCCTCCATTCTCCTCTTGGGATCTTGGGCACGCACACACACGCGCCCGGCGTGAGTTTAAGCCACCCGCTCTGGGACTCGAACAGCCGTCGACTACATGGGAGTCCAGCGACATAGCCATTACGCCAACTGCTGGTCCCATCCACCATTTTTGTTTTAGAGCCAACATGACCTGGGTTCGTTTGGAGGGAAGTCGGCACCAGGAGGTACACACAGACATCAGCTGAATATGACGAGTAAGTAGCAGAGCACAGAACTAGTTAACGTTGACCCTCTTTTGATTCTATGACTGAATATCATCTTAGAGAGTGGGACCAGCAGTTAGCCTAATGGCTAGCCCAAGATCCCGAGAGAATGGAGAAGGGATTGCGGCGTGGCCATCCTCCCTGGGGGGTGATTTCTCACTTTCTGTCTCTCTGTCTCTCTGTGTCTTTCTGGTGAGTGCACGCACCCTATAGCAAAAACCTCTCAAAAAAAAAAAAAAAGTCATAGGTTTCTTGTGGCCCTTGAGTACCTTAACAAATGAAATGCATCCCCCAGAAGAATCTGGTATTTTCCTTTTTTTTTTTTAAAGAATTATTTAACTATTCATTCATTTTTTTTTTCATTTTAATTTGACCAGAGAGACACAGAGAGAGAGAGAAAGTGAGAAATCAAGCCACCAGGTACAGGACTCGAACAGTGGTCAGTTATGTGGAAGTGTCCAGCACCTTAACTACCATGCCACCTGCTGGCCTGAGAATCAGGAATTTTCTTCCATGCACGAGTGGCAATGGTGGCTATTTGCCCAAAGACTTCCGGTGACAAGGTGCTTATTAGTAGCATAATCCCCAGTCCCTCACGGCATGTCAGCAATCGCTTCTGGGTTTCTTTTTTTGGAGAGGTTTTCACTAAAGGACATGTGGGCTCACCAGACAGACAGAGACAGAGAGACAGAGAGCAAGAAATCTCCCCCCAGGGGGGATGGTCACACCGCAATCCCTTCTCCTCCATTCTCCTCTCGGGATCTTGGGCACGCACGCACACGCGCCCGGCATGAGTTTAAGCCACCGAGTCCGGGACTCGAACCGCGTGGGAGTCCAGCGACATAGCCATGATGCTAACTGCTGGTCCCAGCTTCTAGATTTCTTGTTACATGATCGGCAGCCATCTGACGGCATCCGTCATCAAACGCCTGTCTCCAGACTATACTGAGCAGGAGTAGTTACCCTTTTTACCAACACTTTCCAGCCATTGGTCGTAAGCTCAGGGATAGTCGCTGTGTTGTCTGTCGTCCCTGTAACGCAAGGACTGCTGGTTCCATACGGTGATCGCTCGTCTCAATTCCTTACGTAGACTACAGGGTAAACATTCGTGTGTGGCTTGTCCCCTTTGGCAAATAATAGGTCAGACAGAATGCACGGATGTGTCCCCTTCTTGTAGAGCGCTGCTTAGACAGTCCTTCAAATATCCCCGGGGCAATTTTTCACTAGGCAGGTTTTTTATTATTTATTTATTTATTTTTCTTTCTTTTTTTGGAGAGGTTTTTGCTATAGGGCGCATGCGCTTGCCAGAAAGACAGAGAGAGACAGAGAGACAGAAAGGGAGAAATTACCCCACAGCGGGGATGGCCATGCCACAATCCCTTCTCCTCCATTCTCCTCTCGGGATCTCGGGGACGCACGCACACGCGCCTGGCGTGAATTGAAGCCACTGGGTTCAAGGCGTGAACCGTGGTCCCAAGGCATGTAATACTTTTTTTTTTAAATTTTATTTATTCATCTATTTATTTTGTAATTTGACCAGAGAGAGAGATAGAGAAAGTGAGAAAGCAAGCCACCAGGTAAAGGATTCGAACCGTGGTTGACCATGTGGGAGTGTCCAGCGCCTTAACCACCATGCCACCTGCTAGTCCCCAGTATGTAATATTTCTATAGGAGCACGCTGCTCTTCATGTAAGCAGATACCAATTTTTTTCCCAGTCAGTTAATCTCAATGATCCAGTCTCAGAGTACCAAGGGCAATAGGTAATCCACTTTTATTAACATCTGAGAAATCGTTTCAGAAGTACTGAGTGATCAGCCTTTTTTTTTTTTTTTTCATTTTTTTTTGGAGAGGTTTTTGCTATAGGGTGCATGTGCTCGCCAGAAAGACAGAGAAAGACAGACAGAAAGCAAGAAATCACCCCCGAGAGGGATGGCCACACCACAATCCCTTCTCCTCCATTCTCCTCTCGGGATCTTGGGCACGCACGCACACGCGCCCGGCATGAGTTTAAGCCACCAGGTCTGGGACTTGAACCGCGGTCGACTACATGGGAGTCCAGCGACATAGCCATTACGCTAACTGCTGGTCCCCCTAGACTTTTTTTTTTTTTTTAGAGCCTGACTTAATAAACACAATAGCTCCTCCTTGTGAGCAGTGCAAGTGGGAGATAGCCCGATCCACAGGCTGACTCCTGGGCTCTCCGTGCAGAAGCAGTGGGTCGGCTACTTCAGGCATGTTCCCGGGCGGGAGACAGTCTGTTATCCACACGGATTTCCTCGGATCTCAGAAGAGATGAACGGTGCCCCTCTAGCCCTTACCCGGGGGAGAAATTAGTGTGTAGACTGAAAAACAACCACCAGCACCAGCAGTTGGTATAATGGCTATGTTGCTGGACTCCCATGTAGTCGACCGCGGTTCAAGTCCCAGACCTGGTGGCTTAAACTCATGCCGGGCGCGTGTGCATGCGTGCCCAAGATCCCGAGAGGAGAATGGAGGAGAAGGGATTGCAGCGTGGCCATCCCCCCGGGAGGTGATTTCTTGCTTTCTGTCTGTCTGGCGAGCGCACACTCCTTATAGCAGAAACCTCTCCCCCCCCCAAAAAAAAGTGATAATAAAATAACTAATTTTAAAAATTGCCTTACTGGGGGACCAGCAGGTGGTGTGGTGGTTAAGACACTGGATACTCCCACATGGCCGACCACAGTTTGAGTCCTGGACCTGGTGGCTTGCTTTCTCACTTTCCCTCTCTCTCTCTGGTTCAAATTAAAATAAATGGATGAATAAGTAATTAAATAAATAAATCTTTAAAAAATAATAACTGTCTTACTGTATTTTTGTCTTTGGCTCGGGTCACTAAATCCAGCCCACGCTCAAAAGGGTAAGGGACAGGGATTTGGCTGAAACTGCTGGGGGTGTAGGAGGGGGTACCTACTTAAAGAGAAATTGCCCCAGTGCCCTCCTACCCATGCAAAAGGCTGGGAAGACCTCCCTTATCAGAGCCTGGCGTGGCTCGGGGCTGAGCCCCTGACCCCTGCAGGTCTGGGACTAAGCACTGTGGGTCCGCCAGCGCCCCAAGCGTTGCAGCAGGTGGCGACTGGGCCGGCCCGAGGCCCCGGGGCAGGGCGGGCTGCCTGCCGCCTCCTTAAAACCAGGGCGGCCCCTGAACCGCAGCGACGGGCACAGCTGCTCCTCCTTGACCCCTGGGGCCCCGCAGGTGAGATCGCGTCCCGGGAGAGGGGTCTCCCACTGCCCTTCCTGGTCACCCACTTCCTTCCTGTTTGCTCCCCTCCCCCCCGGGGCAGGCCCGAGGCCCCGGGGCAGGGCGGGCTGCCTGCCGCCTCCTTAAAACCAGGGCGGCCCCTGAACCGCAGCGACGGGCACAGCTGCTCCTCCTTGACCCCTGGGGCCCCGCAGGTGAGATCGCGTCCCGGGAGAGGGGTCTCCCACTGCCCTTCCTGGTCACCCACTTCCTTCCTGTTTGCTCCCCTCCCCCCCGGGGCAGTCACCGCCCTTCTCTGAGCTGTTGTCCCCGCGTTGAATGAAGGGTCCTTCCTCTCCCAGGCAGAGGTTGGACGGATTGCTGAGTGCGCGGGGGCCAGGGGGCGGCGCCCAGCGCGGAGGACGGAGACTGGGAGGTGGCCGCCCCTGCCGCAGGTGCTGGTGCGCTCAGTGCCCACACAGGCCAGGTGACGTGGAGGACCCGCGGACAGCTGCAGACGGCGTGAGGGTCAGAGGGCTCCAATCACATGGGTGTCACCCGCTGCCTCCCGCCGGGGTTCCTCCCGCAGGAATAGGCATAGGGGAAGGGGCGGTCTAGGCAGGACTTCCTGGAAAAGACAGCGCTTTGCACTTTGGGGGGGCTGTGGGCGATGGGGCCCGGGGAGTCCCACGGTCGCCGTTTCCATCATGGCACGCCAAACACACAACCTACACCAGACAGAGCCTGGGGACTCGGCCAGACACACACCTAGGACAGACACACGCAGGTCCCCAGACGTCTATGTCTCCCACCCAGTGCCAGGTGAGCGCTCGGGGACACTCCACAGACACGCCACACAGGCCTGGCAGGCTCAGTCGACGTGTCTACACCCAACTCCCAGCTGCAGTGTAGAGAGACCCAAGCCGGCTCGCTCAGTTGCACTTAGGAAACAGACACACCCAGACGCGGGCGGGCACACGAGCTGCGTCTCAAACACGTACAGACACGCACAGCCTCACACACGCACCTGCACGCATGTGTGCACGGACCCACGCCGCCTCTCGGGACACCATGGGCCCACCGCACACACAAGCCTTGCAGACAGACCTGGACATGCCCTGGTGCACACGTGTGCCCAGACCCCCCCCCACCTCCAATCCCGTGTCCAGCACTGGGGAAGTCCACGGCTCACATGACCCAAGGGGAGGACTCCCGGCCAGTCCTTGGAGAAACTGCATCATCCACTCAAAGGGCCGTTTCCGCCCCAGGCAATAAAGGCTCAGAGGCTGCCCGTCCTGCCCTGGAGGCACCTTCTGCAGCCCCTGTGACTGGCTCAGGCCTCCCCCAAGGTAGGAGCTGGGCACGGGTATGCGGGACAGCGAGGTGGCCTTGCAGGGTCACTGTCTCGGCCCCTGGCTGGAGCCCTGGGAACAAGGACAAATGGGTACCCAGCAATGCCAGCCCTGCAGGGGGCGGTCTCCCTCTCTCTGGGTGCAGGGCATGCCAGGGTGCCTGGGCTTGCTGCCCTGGTGCCCAAGCGACGCACGCTCCCCCTGCAGATGGACACGTGGAGCGTGCTGCTGGTCCTGCAAGCTCTGCTCCTGACGGACGGGGCCGCGCCCACGCCGGACCTCGCGGCTCCCACCCTGCGCATTCTGGCCGTCGGGGACTGGGGCGGGCTGGACAACTCTCCATTCTACACCCCCCGGGAAATGGCCAACGCCAAGGAGATGGCCCGGACCGTCAGGACCCTGGGCGTGAACGCCATCCTGTCCCTGGGGGACAACTTTTACTTCTCCGGCGTGCGGAATGTCGGGGACAAGCGATTCCAGGTGCGTGCCCGACAGCGTGGGGGAGGGCGGCCGGGAAGTGTCACCGGACGGTCCCACCCAGAGAGCTTCTGCCGGCTGATGGGTGCCCTCGGGTACCTGGACCGTGCAGGGTGGGTCTTGGCCCTGGGCCCGGGTGCAGAGGTGGCATCGGGGTAGCTGCTGACCCCGAGGGCGGGGGCGCCCTTTCTGGCTGCCGCAGGAGACCTTCGAGGACGTGTTCTCCGACCGCGCCCTGGTCTCCGTGCCCTGGTACGTGCTGGCCGGGAACCACGACCACCTGGGCAACGTCTCGGCCCAGATCGCCTACTCCCAGGTCTCCAAGCGCTGGTGAGCGTCCCCTGCCCCGCCTCCCGCTGACGGGCTCCCTCGGGGACCAGGCCACCCTGGAGCTTCTCCGGCCCAGAGCTGCAGCGGCGATCTCTGTCCCCTCTCAGGAACTTCCCCAAACTCTACTACCGCCAGCGCTTCATGATCCCCGGGACCAACGTGTCTGTGGCCGTCTTCATGATTGACACGGTGACACTCTGCGGCAACTCGGACGACTTCCTCAGCCAGCAGCCTGAGGCGCCCCAAGACCGGGAGCTGGCCCGCACCCAACTGGCCTGGCTCAAGAAGCAGCTGATGGCGGCCAAGGAGGACTATGTGCTGGTGGCCGGCCACTACCCCGTGTGGTCCATCGCCGAGCACGGGCCCACCCGCTGCCTGGTCAAGTCCCTGCGGCCGCTGCTGGCCAAATACAAGGTCACCGCCTACCTGTGTGGCCACGACCACAACCTGCAGGTGAGGGCCCTGGCGAGCGGGTGGATGGCAGGCACGCTGTCCCTACCCTGGCTAACGGGCCACGGGACTGAGGTCTCCCCAGCCTTCTCATTTTTAAATGTTTTTAAATGTAACTTAATTTATTTGTTTAATTGCTTGAGTAGATGGGGACAGAGAGAGAGTGTGAGAGAGAGAGGGAAAGTGAGAAAGCAAGTCCCCAGGTCCGGGACTTGAACTGTGGTCAGCCATGTGGAAGTCCAAGGCCCTTAAGCACCACACCATCTGCCGCCCCCCCCTTTTTTAAATTGGTTTATTATTATCATTTTTTCTTTGACCAGAGAGAGACAGAGAGGGAAAGTGAGAAAGCCAGCCACCAGGCCCAGGCCACTGAACTGCGGTTGTCGGCATGTGGGACAACCACATGGGAGTCCAGCACCTTAACCACCACGCCACCTGCTGGCCCCTTTCTGACTTTTTTTTATTAGTTATTTCATTTTATTTATTCATTTATTTATTTTTAAAATTTGACCAGAGAGAGACACAGAGAGAAAGAGAGAGAGAGAGGGAAAGTAAGAAAGCAAGCTTCCAGGTTTAGGACTCGAACCGTGATCAGCCTTGTGGGAATGTCCAGCACCTTAACTACCACGCCACCTGCTGGTCCTCCCCTTCTGATTGTTAATACACTCCCCAAAACTATGTGCTCTCTAACCAGGAAACACCCCAAAGTGCCCTAAAAGCCACAGGAGTAGTTCCTATGGGGCTGGCTCCATGGCTCAGTGGTAAGACGCTGCTTAAGAAAAGCTGGATCCCACATGGCGATCACGGTTCAAATCCCCCGTCCGGTCAGCCTGAGACACACTGGGCCCGTGTGCAAGTGCCTAAGATCTCATGGAGGAAGGGGATCCCAGTGGGAGGGGGTGCTTATCTCTCTCTGTCTCTGTCTCTCTGTTTCTCACTTGGGCACTCATAGATTCTATCATAAATTTTGGGGGGGGAAAGTCAAGCAGGGACCAGCAGTTGGCATAATGGCTATGTCGCTGGACTCCCATGTAGTCAACCGCGGTTCGAGTCCCGGACCCGGTGGCTTAAACTCACGCCAGGCTCATGTGCGTGTGTGCCCAAGATCCTGAGAGGAGAATGGAGGAGAAGGGATTGCGGCGTGGCCGTCCCCCCTGGGGGGTGATTTCTCGCTTTCTGTCTCTCTGTCTCTCTGTTTCTGTCTGTCTGACGAGCACATGCGCCCTATAGCAAAAACCTCTCCCCCCCAAAAAAAATGTCAAGCAGAATAATAGCTATTGGGACCAGCAGTTAGCATAATGGCTATGTCGCTGGACTCCCATGTAGTCAACCGCGGTTCGAGTCCCGGACCCGGTGGCTTACACTCACGCCACCCGGTGGCTTAAACTCACGCCAGGCTCATGTGCGTGTGTGCCCAAGATCCTGAGAGGAGAATGGAGGAGAAGGGATTGCGGCGTGGCCATCCCCCCTGGAGGGTGATTTCTCGCTTATCTGTCTCTCTCTGTCTTTCTGGCGAGCACACGCGCCCTAGAGCAAAAGCCTCTCAAAAAATAATAATAATAATAGCTATCAAGGGGCCAGCAGGTGGCGTAGTGCTTAAAGTACTAGATTCCCACATGGCAGGCTGCAGTTCAAGTCCCAGACCTAGTGGCTTCCTTTCTCCATTTCCCTCTCTCTCTCTCTCTGTCGCTTTCTGGTGAGTATACGTGCCCTATAACACAATTTTAAAGTAATAATAATGGGGCCGGCAGGTGGTGTGGTAGTTACGGTACTGGATTCCCGTATGGCTGTCTGCAGTTCGAGTTCCAGACTTGCCAACTTGATTTCTCACTTTCTCTTTCTCTCTCTCTCTGGCGAGTGCACGTGCCCTGCAGCAAATTAAAATAAAATGATATCATTCTTTTAAAATAATAACAGCTATCAGTTACCAATTGCTTGGCAAGTGTTTTATCTGAGAAGCAGAGATAATATTCCTTCAGGGGCCAGCAGGTGGCGTGGTGGTTAATAGCATTGGACTCCCACCTGGTTGACCACGGTTCGAGTCCCAGACCTGGCAACCTCCTTTCTCACCTTCCCTCTCTCTCTCTCCCTCTTTCTCTCTCTCTGGTCAAATGAAAATAAATGAATGAACAAATCAAAGTAAATCAATAATTTTAAAGTAAATACATAAAATACAAATGTAAAAAGTAAATAAATAAATCAAGTTTAAAAATAATAATAATATTCCTTCAGATGGGGAACCTGAGGCTTTGATCAAGGTGACTCTGTTCAGGCACTGACTTGGCCCTGGACCGAGGCATCTGTGGGTGGAGCCCGTAGTCAGCCCCCCCATCCCCCTCTGCACCCTGACCTCTGGGCCGGGGACCCCACCAACCCCGCACCCTCCACCCCCAGTACCTTCAGGATGCCGACGGCGTGGGCTACGTGCTGAGTGGAGCCGGGAACTTCATGGACCCCTCCAAGCGGCATTTCAACAAAGTCCCGAATGGCTACCTACGCTTCCACTACGGGTCCGAGGACTCGCTGGGCGGCTTTGTCTACTTGGAGATCAACCCCAAAGAGATGGGCATTACTTACATGGAGGCCTCGGGCAAATCTCTGTACAAGGCTGTGCTGCCCCGGAGAACCAGGCCCTGAGCACCCGGGAGAGCGGGGACCCTGCCCACCCTTTCCTGTAGGGCTGGGTAACTGAGAAACGGCCACACCGACCCCCACATCCACGACGGAGGTGTAGACACGTGTACAGCCATCATCTCTTGGCCTGTGGCTTGGCTCCTCTGGGTTGTGTTTGGGGCGTGGGGACAGGGAGGGCACGCTTCCTGAATCCAGCACCTTGCTGTCACTGCCATTCAATAAAAGAATCCTTGTCAACGCTGACCTTGTGCAAGGAGCTTGTTGTTGGGGGGGTTAGTGTCTGGGCTCCCCGATTTGCGGCTTGGTCCCTCTGTCTCCTGGTGCCCCTGGTCTCATACATGGATGTGATTTTTAAGCAAAAAAAAAACATGCAAAGGATTGGCCCATTGTGTTAAGGTTAAGGATTGTAGAGAGAAAGCCAGATTCCACATAGCCAACCAGGGTTCGCGTCCCAGCCCCGGCTGGTTGAAAAAAAACACACTGAGTGTGTAAGCAGGGTTCGAGTCCCAGCCCCGGCTGCTTGAAAAAAAACACACCAAGTGTGTATGTGCATACCTGGGATCCTGATGGGATGCAGAACTGAAGGAGAAACGATTATGGCATGACCTGACCAGCAGGTGGCCTGGTGGTTAAGGCGCTGGCTACTCCCACATGGCCAACCACGGTTCGAGTCCTGGACCTGGCAGCTTGCTTCCTCACTTTCCCTCTCTCTCTCTCTCTCTTTCTCTCCCTCTCGCCCCCCCCATATGTCTCTCCAGTCAAATTAAAATAAATGAATTAATTAAATTATATAAATGATTTAAAAAAAAGATTATGGCATGACCAAGCCTCACTGGGGGAATAACTTCAGTTTCTCTCTGTCTCTCTCCCTCTCTTGTGTGGGTCCTTGGGAAATTATTTTTAATTGCCAGAGGGTTTGTGGATTCACCAGGGAGGGACAGAGAGAAAGAGAGGGAGAGAGCACCCCTTAATGGGGTGTGGTCACTCCCCAATCTTTTCTCCTCTGTTTCTCCAACCTGCTGGGATTTGGGGCACACACACACATGCCCAGTGTGTTTTTCAAACTGCCAGGGGCCATGTGGGATTCAGCTCCCTTAACCACCAGGGTATGGGGCTGGCTGTGCCCTAGGGCATTTAAGAAACCAAACAGGGGCCAGCAAGTGGCATGGTGACCGGACTCCTACATGACTGGCCGCAGTTCAAATCCCGGACCTGGCAGTTTGCTTTCTCACTTTCCTTCTCTCTCTCTCTGTTTCTCCCTGGTCAGCTTAAAAAAATACATAAATAGGGGGACCAGCAGTTAGCGTAATGGCTATGTCACTGAACTCCCATGTAGCCAACTGCAGTTCAAGTCCCAGTCCCGGTAGCTTAAACTCATGCCGGGCGCATGTGCATGCGTGCCCAAGATCCTGAGAGGAGAATGGAGAATTGCAGCGTGGTCATCCACCCCGGGGGGTGATTTTTCACTTTCTGTCTCTGTCTCTCTCTCTCTCTCTCTTTCTGACAAGTGCACGCGCCCTATAGCAAAAACCTCTCCAAAAAAATTCTCATTTAAAAAAAAATTACTGTGTGTGTTTTTTAAATTATTATTTTTTTATCATTTTAACTTTATTTATATTTATTTTTATTTGACCAGAGAGGGCCAGAGTGAGAGAGAGAGAGAAAGAAAAAGTGAGAAAGCCACCTTCAGGTCTGGAACTTGAACCGTGGTCGGCCATGTGGGAGTCCAGCGCCCTTAACCACCACGCCACCTGCCAGCCCCCCAAAATTCTCATTTTGAAAAAGGATTATTTATTTAATTTTACTTATTATGATTTCTTAATTTGACCAGAGACAGGGAGGGAAAGTAAGAAAACAAGCCACCAGATCCGGTACTTGAACTGTGCTCAGTCATATGGGGGTCCAGTGTCTTAAACACCACATTACCTGCTGTCCCCAATAAATAATTCTTCTTTTTTTCAAGATTTATTTTTATTCATTGTTATTATTTTTAATTTGATCAGTGAGAGAGATAAGGAAAGTGAGAAAGCAAGCCACCAGGTCCAGGACTTGAACTGTGATCAGCCACGTGGGAGTCTAGCACCTTACACACCACGCCACCTGCCAGCCCCAGTTAATAATTCTTAAAAAAAAAAAAAAATCCGGGGGGA